GCACAAGCACTTGGGCCATCTTCCACTGGTTTTCCAGGTGCATTAGCAGGGAGCTGGATGGGAATTGGAGCAGCCTGGACTTGAACCCCTTGTCAATAGGGGATCCCAGTGTTGCAGCGCCTGCCCTCATTTTTTAATTTTTTTTTTTTGACAGGCAGAGTGGACAGTGAGAAAGAGAGAGACAAAGGTCATCCTTTTCCGTTGGTTCACCCCCCAATGACCGCTGTGGCTGACGTGCTGCGGCCGGCGCACCGCGTTGATCCAAAGCCAGGAGCAAGGTGCTTCTCCTGGTCTCCCATGCGGGAGGTGTGATACTCCATGATCTTTCCCTTAATAACTGAGGAAAAATTTTGCACAGCAATACATATATCATCTGTTCTTTCATTAAGCTGTTAGAGGGAGTGGTAGATGCAATTTGGAAGATTAGTTTCTGGTATCCTTTTCTCAGGATGTGCTTAGTTTAAAAGTGTATTTTTAAGATAAGATAAGGGCCACTCAAAATTCTCCTTATTTCAGTTCATCAGATTAAGTTATGGCATTTTGAAAAATCAGAATAGAGGAAATTTTCTCTTTGTTTGGTGGAATAGCTCATTTTTCTTCAAACAATCTTTGAAGAGACATAGCTACAAATTGTGTGAATGACATTCATTCCTTTATGTGAAGTGACTCCCAGCTACCTACGGCTAAAGACATCTTCTTTCAGAGAAGTAAGTTACAGCTCATATCTTGGCTCTCCTATTCTTTTTTTTTCTAAGATTTAATTTATTTATTTGAGAGGTAGAACTATAGACAGAGAGAGATAGAGGAAAGAGAGAGAGAGAGAGAGAGAGAGAGAGAGAGAGAGAAAGGTCTTCCATCAGCTAGTTCACTCCTCAAATGGCTGCAATAGCGAGAGATGAGCAGATCTGACGCCAGAAGCCAGGAGCCTCTTACATGTCTCCCATGTGGGGGCAGGGGCCCAAGGAATTGGGCCATTTTCTACTGCTTTCCCAGGCCATAAACAAAGAGTTGGATTGAAATAGGAGCGGCTGGAACATGAATCAGCACCCGTATGGGTTGCCACGCCACAGGCCTAGCCTATTATGCCAAAGCACCAGCCCAATTTCCATTCTTTAATTTGCCTCCACCAAGACTAGTCTGCAGAACAGCACTTTGCCAGTGACCATGTCTCCAGACTGTCTCAATAAGTCTGAAAATAAGCAAGGAAACTTGGATAATTTTTCAATCTGATTTATTACAGTCCAACTGAATAATAAGTGTAGCAATCCAGCTTAACACTATGTGTGAAAGTAATATTCAGACCGCTGAATTATTTTTCTTATATGTATATCAATTCAAAATTTTAAAAATATGGAGCTATAAAATATTCTTTAGTTTCAGAATGCATTTTTTTTTTTTGACAGGCAGAGTAGACAGTGAGAGAGAGAGAGACAGAGAGAAAGGTCTTCCTTTTGCCGTTGGTTCACCCTCCAATGGCCACCACGGCCGGCGCGCTGCGGCCGGTGCACCGCGCTGATCCGATGGCAGGAGCCAGGTGCTTCTCCTGGTCTCCCATGGGGTGCAGGGCCCAAGCACTTGGGCCATCCTCCACTGCACTCCCTGGCCACAGCAGAGAGCTGGCCTGGAAGAGGGGCAACCGGGACAGAATCCGGCATCCCGACAGGGACTAGAACCCCGTGTGCCGGCGCTGCAAGGTGGAGGATTAGCCTAGTGAGCCGCAGAATGCCGGCAGAATGCATATAATTTTTCAAATTAATATTGAATCATTACTCTGGTAATTTTGAGATGCTGGTATTATGAGAATAAGAACATTCTTTGCCTTTTTTTCAGGAAGCCCTATTCAGTTTTGCTTAAAATATTAAAAATATAGAAAAGGAATTACATAGTAGTGGATGTGAAATATGTTCTAGTTTTATGCATCTCAAGGTCCCTAATAATGTCCTATGATAAGATCACAGAATTGTTTCATATTTATCCTTGATATAGATAGTGCAAGTAAATATGGAAGTCCTTTTTTAAAGATTATTTCCTATGAGGTACTAAGAAAATAGCATTTGGGTCCAACGCTGTGGCACAGAATATTAAAGCCCTGGCCTGCAGCAGCATTCCATATAGGCACCTGTTCCAGCTCTGGCTCCTCCACTCCAATCCAGCTCCCTGATAATATGCCTGTGAAAGCAAAGGAGGAGGGCCTAAGTTCGTGGGCTCCTGTACCCACGTAGGACACCTAGAAGAAGCACTTGGCTTGGTGGGCTCAGTTCCAGCCATTGTGGCTATTTGTGGAGTGAACAAACAGATAGAAGACTTCCCTTTTTCTCTGTGTCTCTACCTCTCTGTAACTCTTTCAAACAAATAAAATTTTAAAAAAGAAAATGCTTTACTATTCAAATCATTTTTATACATTTTCAGATTGTTTTCCAGAGTTTTTAGGCAGCAGTAAAAGAAAAACCTCCTTGTAATAATCACACTATATTACAGATGACTTCTCAGTGATTATTGTGACAGGACTATGGAGAATAAGTTGAAGGTAAGGATAATGTCTATATTAAAAGTAATAGATTTTAATTTCAATAATTGAAAGGAAAAAATGATAATAACCTTGTCTAAATTAGTGGCAATTCTAAAGGAAAAAGGTTGAGGAAAAGATCACTGGTCTTCGATTTAATTCTTATGTCTTCTTATGGAAAAGCAGCAGACATCTATGTCTTTAAACAATAATGGCTATCCCATTTTTGAGGTAAGGGGTAACACGCCTGAAATGCAGTGCACACAGAATGAAAATTATTGTTTTAACACCTATGAAGAAATGGAGGAGAGAAGTAAAGGAAAATTATTGAATTGCTGCTCAATCTTTTGATTGGAGAACCAAATCTGAGTGTAAGATTTTAAAAAATAAATAAATAAAAGGGATCTGACAAGCATGATTTCTTCTAACCACAAGGACCACAAAAGTATTTTCCTTATACATTATCAACTCAACCAGTAAGAAAGAGGTAGTTTGAATAGGAAACTTTCAAAGAGAAAGTAATATGCTAAGACAGCACACAACTTCACTCAGGTGTTTATAGGTAAAATTAAGAACATCTCCAAACAGGGAAAGGGCCATTGTCGTAAATACCTTTAAAGATGTTTCTGTCCAAATCCAAAAATAATCTGTAACTAAAATTCAGATAGGGTACTTAATAGACCTTCAAGGCTAAAATTGCACAGAAATACTAAAAGTTAATTCCTCTTTAGACTTAGATAATTTTATAGTTAAATTTAGCAGTGATATATTCCAATTAGTTTAAGAAAGTAACTAGGCATTACCTAGTTATTGCATTATATCACATTTTGTAATATAACACAAAATGTGTTATATCACATTTTCTATAACATGTCAGTTCTTTAAAAATACAAGTCAAGTAAGTGCTTAAAATTGTAAGTTCTTGGAATTTAAAAATCATATTTCCTGGGGAATCAAGAAAAATGAACTGTGTTGTGTTTTCTATCATACTATTTCAGGTTTGCAAAAAAGCAAGTGTTTGTCCCCAAAACTCCTCAAATCCAAATTATTCTATTTCTCTTGGTAACATATGCCTAAAATGTAATCATGTTGCCTAGAAAATAATTACAAATAAATCATGTAAAAAATCAGTGTTACAGAAAAATTTTAAATGATGGTATGGTAAATTGGAAAATGTAGCAGAGAATGGTCCAAATGTTTTGGCCCATTCCACCCTCATAGGAAATCCAGATGAAGCTCCTGGCTTATGACTTTGTCTAGCCCAACCATGGACATTATGTCGTCTGAGGATTGAACCAGCAGGTGGATGATCTCTCTCTCTCTCTCTCTCTCTCTCTCTCTCTCTGTAATTCTATCTATGTCTATCCCTCTCTGGGTAACTCTGACTTTCAAGTAAATAATAAATATATTTCTTAAAACAAAAGGGGCTGATGCTGTGGCTTAGTGAGTAAAACCACTGCCTGCAATACCGGCAATTCATATGGGTGCTGGTTAGAATTCCAGCTGCTCCACTTCTGACCCAGGTTTCTGCTATGGCCTGGGAAAGCAGAAGAAGATGTCCCAATTGTTTTGGCCTCTTTATTCCCATGTGGGAGACCCAGAGGAAGCTCCTGGCTCCTGGCTTTGGATCGGTGCTGCTCTGGACATTGCGTCCCTTGGAAAGTGAGGCATCAGATGGAAGGTTCTCTCTCTCTCTCTCTCTCTCTCTCTCTGTAATAAACAAATCTTTAAAAACAAAACAAGAATAGAAGATGGGGCTGGCCTTGAGGCAAAGCAGGTAATGCCACTGCCTGCGATGCCAGAACCCGCTCTGGGCGCTACTTTGTGTTACAGCTGATCTTCTGACCCTTTTCTCTGCTAATGGCCCAGGAAAAGCAGCAGAAGATGATCCAAGTCCTTTAGCACCTGCATCCACAAGGGAAGCCCAGATGAAGCTCCTGGCTCCTGACTTTACCCTGGCCCAGTGCAGGCCATTGTGGCCATCTGGGGACTGAACCAACAGACAGAGGATATTTTTTGTGTCTTCCTCTGTCTCTATAACTCTTTCAAATAAACTAATCTTTAAAAAATGTTAAAGAAATTCAGAACCCTGACTGCATATTTCAATGTTTTATTGATGAAGATACACACATGGTAGAATATTTTCCAGTTAACTGAACATTCTGTGAAACTAGTAACAATAATAATTTAAGTACATTAATATAACTAAAAAAGAGTCAGGTAAAGTAAAAGTACCAAAAAACAAAGGAATCCAGAATCAAACAAGCCAAACATAAAAATCAGTAAAAATCTTTGTGTGAAGAAACACTGGAAATCAGAACACTTTTTCTTATGAAAATCTATATAAATTTTAGAAACACATAATTTTGAAGATTCTTCATATTAGAAGCAGGCAAAATAAGCTATTTTAATCCTTTAATATTTATGATAAGCTATTTGGTTTCTAATACTGATGTTAATCACTTCAACATTAGACAACAGTCAAATTTACCAGATAAGATTCTCCTTTGCAAGAACAATAATTTTTAAGTTTAGATTCACAAACAGTCCATCTTCAATTTGCATGTACTACTTGATGTGCAGTACTTGAGTTCAGAGAAGGTATGCCTGTTAATTAAAATGTCAGCAATTGTTTTTGATTCAATGGCATTTCTTTCTTTTTCTACTTCATTTCTGACTTTTAACACTTCTTGCCTATAAAAAGATGGCATTTCAGGGGCTATTCATAGTGACATTTCATTAGCTCTTAGATTTAGACAATGTTTCACAGATAATTTAAGTTCTATTCTGATCTACATTCCCTTTGCTTGGAGCCTAATAGTAGTTATGTTCTGTAACTCAGCTCTTGAAATTTTCTCTTCTGTCCTTTGCAGAACCAGCTGTTCTCACTTACCTAGGCTATCATCTTTACACTGGTGACCACAGTTCTAAATCTCTGCTATTCTCCTGATTTTTCAGCTGCATCAGGCAATTGCATTAGTAGCTACACAACTATCAATTAGAACTCAGTAGGTCAGAAGCAAGAATTATTGCTTTCTTCATAAAATACTTCTGTTTCCTATTTGAGTTTCTCTTGGTTTCATCCTCATTCTTCCAACACATAAGTTGAATGTACAAATTCACTTTTTATTCATCATTTTCCTCTGGATTTTATATGTATTCAACTTCTGGAATATATATCTTACGTCTCTTCTTTCTCCACCTTCACTCCTCTGATTCTACTCTGAATTGTAACTCTGCATAATAAGATTTAGGAAAGGGGTTCTTCAATGATACATCATTCTCTAGGATTGTATCCTTTCAAAAGATTCTGCTGGCATTGCTAGAATAATCTGCCTAAACTGCCTATTATGCTATATTACTGTGTTCTCCAAAATTTGCGAAGACTATTTCCCCACTGTTAAATTCAAACAACCTCACATCATCTGTATTATTCCTTTTTCTATTTTGCTATACTCTCACTTATTTTCTGTTTCCTGACTAGAATTTTATTTTTTTGCATTGGACTTGAGTTAATTCCTGTTTTTTTTTTTCTATCCAAATCCTAGTAATTCTCTTTTTTTTATTTGACAGATAGAGTTAGACAGTGAGAAAGAGAGAGACAGAGAGAAAGGTTCTCCTTTTTCCATTGGTTCACCCCCTAAATGACTGCTACGGACAGTGCACTGTGGCATTCCAAAGCCAGGAGCCAGGTGCTTCTCCCAGGTCTTCCATGCGGGTGCAGGGTCCCAAGCACTTGGACCATCCTCCACTGCCTTCCCGGGCCACAGCAGAGAGCTGGATTGGAAGAGGAGCAACTGGGACTGGAACCCGGCGCCCATATTGGATGCCAGTGTGGCAGGTGGAGGATTAACCAAGTGAGCCACAGCACCAGCCCCCTCCTAGTAATTCATTAATAGCTCTCTGTTACTAACTCCCCTTGAGACTTGCATCTCTGATATCCTAAATTCTGGTAAGCGACACATTTGTTCATTTTCTGGTTGCTTTTAATGTGCAAAACTCATAGAATAATTTACACATTAATTTGTATCACTTATCAATGTGTTGACTGACTTGTTCCTGAAGAGACTATGAATGTCCATCTAATGTCCTCTGATTTATATAACCCAGTTGACTCCATTGGAACTGATAAATCATATTTGTTAATGTTGCTTTCACTTTGCACTTTTGTTCTTATATTGAAATCCCATGACAAATTCTAAGTAGGTGTCGAAATAATTTAAAATATTGGTAGTTACATGATATTTTCTCTGACTCAGATATTGTTTAACAAAATTCACAAGCACAATTCTTTTACAAGGCATTAAAACCAATGATATTTGCGAAAATATTATGTCTGTTTTGAAGACAGGATTCAGTAGCTGATCTAAGATGCTACAGCCAAAATGTCAGTGCTGATTTTCTATGACAATCAGTCTATAATTAGAATCTGTGTTCATAATTACCATATTATACTTAATAGTGAGAGCTTGTTGAGGCTGGTGCTGTGGCCTGTCAGGTGAAGCCGCCGCTTGCAGTGCCAACATCCCACAAGGGTGCCGGTTTGACACAGCTGCTCCCCTTCCGATCCAGATCTCTATGGTCCCGGAAAGCACAGTGGAAGATGGCCCAAATCTTTGGGCTTCTGCACCTGTGTGGGAGACCTGGAAGAAGGAAGCTCCTGGATCCTGGTTTTGTATCAGCCCAGCAACCATTTGGGGAGTGAACCAGAGGATGGAATATTTATTTCTCTCTGCCTCTGCCTCTGTAACTTTACCTTCCAAATAAATAAATCTTTTTAAAAAAGTTTGTCAGAAATGAACATATGCATGTTTTTAAATATTCAGAAAAATTTTTATAGCATAACATTTGAGCTTGGTGCTTAACATGCTCTGATTATTATGCCTCACTAATGATTTTATTTTAAGACAAAAAAGCCATATGATGATAATCCATTAAAATAAACTAGTATGACTATGAAGCTAAACAATTAAGCACACTTCTGAAAAAAGGAGTTAATGAAAGTTGAATGGGAATTTAGAGCAAGACTGCAGGAAATATGAGCATTTGTGAAGCACTTTTTTTTTTCTTTTCACTTTTTCTTATGGTCGATTTTTTTTTCTCCTTCAAATTTGTTGCTAAACTTACTATCTATCCTTAAGTATTTCTTCATGCAAAGCCCTCAGTTTTATTTTAACAGGAGAAGATGTATTATTAATTTATTTATTCATTTTTATCAACATAAAAATTAAGAGTGAGCATTAAGCAAAAATTTAGAATTCAAATAATCAGTGAGTAAATGTTTCCCCTAAAATGTGAGTGATGGCAGGATTTCCTAATTGAGAATTAAGTTCAAAGTAGGAAGTGTTACATTTTGGGGAAATGAAATATGTCAATATGCAAAGGTAAGAAATAAGTCTTTCTAAAATTATGGGATATGTACTCTATAGAATACTATACAGAAGAAAAAGAATGAGATCCAGTCATTTGCATTAAATTGGAGGAATCTGGAAAACATCATGCTGAGTGAAATAAGCCAGTCCCAAAGGGACAAATATATGTTCTTCCTGATGTGTGACAACAAACTGAGCACCAAAAAGGAAACCTGTTGAAGTGAAATGGACACTATGAGAAACAAAGACTTGATCAGCCCTTGTCCTGACTGTCGAGGCACAACTTACTATTTTATTCCTTTTAGTATTTGTTCTACTTAATACCATTGTTTGAACTCTTTAACACAATTATTCTTAGGTGTTTAAATTTAACTGAAAAGTGATCCCAGTTAAATATAAGAGTGGGAATAGGAGAGGGAGGAGATGTACAGTTCAGCATATGCTCACATGGACTTACCCCTAATTGTAGAGCTAGAAACGTACTGGGAGATTCCAATTCAATCCCATCAAGGTGCCATGTACCAATGCCATCTTACTAATCAAAGTGATCAGTATCAGTTCATAATTGATTATAATGATAGGACTAAGAGTCAAAGGGTTCACATAAACAAGACTAGTGTCTGCTAATACTAACTGATAGAATTAAAAAGAAGAGAAGGATCCATGATGGGAAGCAGGATATACAGCAGACTCATAGAATGGCAGATGTCCTAAACAGCACTCTGGTCTCAGAATCAGCCCGTAAGGCATTTGGATCTGGATTAAAAGCTCATGAGAGTATTTCAGGCATGGAAAGCCAAGACACTGTGGCAAAAAAAAAAAAATCTAAATGAAAGATCTCTATGAGTAAGATCCCAGCAGAAAGAACAGGCCATCAAAAAATGAGGTACCTATCTCTGAAGGGAGGAGAGAACTTCCACTTTGACTATGGCCTTGTCTAAATAAGATCGGAGTTTGTGAACTTAAGAAGCTTCCATAGCCTTGGCAGTTCGTGACAAAAGCCTCGGGTTATTACTGACTTCATAAATAAGAGTGTCAATTGGTAAATCAACAACGGCAGTCACTGTGCCCTTGCTCCCCATGTAGGATCTCTATCCTTAATGTGTTGTACTATGCAAGTTAATGGTAAAACTACTACTCAAACAGGTACACTTTACTTTGTATATCTGTGTGGGTGCTAACTGCTGAAATCTTTACTTAGTATATACAAAGTTGATCTTCTGTATATAAAGATAATTGAAAATGAATCATGATGAAGAATGGGATGGGAGAGGGATTGGGAGATAGGATGGTTGTGGGTGGGAGGAATATTATGGGGGGAAAAGCTGCTATAGCCCAAAAGTTGTACTTTCAATATTTATATTTATTAAATAAAGGTTTAAAAAAAGAAAAAAAGAAAAAAGTCTTTCTGTAGGTTGCAGTTGTGAGTGAAGGCAGAAATACATGAGCGTGAAGACAGAATGAACAAAGGATTTTGAGAATTTCTAAGAGAGTGGTACTCAATCCTAAATATGATGTGAGGCTTCCAGATGAATTTCACTGATCCAGCTAAATTTTCTACAGTGATTACTCCAGGTTTATAATGAAAAAGTATGTCAAATTAGGTAAATAGGAACATAACAGGATTAAAAGAGAGGATCTTACAGAAATATATGTTAAATGATGGTGATTGGTGCAGTATCTTTGTATTTAGAATGAAGAACAATAATGATCTAGAGAATGATAGAGTACTGTAATGCCTAATGATGGATTGGATGTTTCAATATCAGATAGAAATTCAGACTCAGTAACTGAGTGTGATGGCACCACATCTCAACACACTGAGTGGACAACAGGGTTAGTTAGAGATTTTGACTTTTCTTTAAAAAAAAAGTGAAATTAACTTCAAGATGTAATGACTTTGAACAGCCCTTGTCTTGACTGTTGAGGAACATTTTTGTGTGTGTGCACAAATTGTTGAGCTTTTTATTTAGTATAGAGTTGGTCTTCTGTGTATAATGTTAATCAAAAATGGATTTTAGTGGAGAATGGGACTGGGAATGGGATAGAGAGGAGGGAGAAGGGGTAGGAGTGTGTGTGGGAGGGCGGGTATGGTGAGAAGAATCACTATATTCCTAAAATTGTATTTATGAATGCATGAAGTTTCTTTGGAAAAAAAGAAATCTTGACTTTCAAATGTTTGTGGAGATGCCTAATAGATGATGTGTTGGTAAGGAGTAGAAAGAGTGGATGGATTTGTACATTTCTGAATACTTTTTTATGACAATGCAAGTAAATGTGATTATGTAAGTGTATTTAAGTAAAAAACAAGATTAAAACCCAGATAAAATCTGTTTTAAAACAAAAGGCAATGAACAGGTACTTTCTAAAATGGATGAAATGGAGCTGTCACAGTAAGAATGAAAATCAAAAATCAGGAGGAATTAGAGTCAAGAAAAGTGATTTGATGATAAATCATATTTCCCTCAAGAGAAATGCAAGCATATTGTGTTGAAATAATTATAAGAGATAGCAAAACAATGACAGAATCAACAGCAATTTGGGACTCTCTCATTTCCATCACTGTCCCAGTCCATACTGGCAACATTTTTTTTTTTTTTTAGATTTATTTTGTTCATTTGAAAGGCAGAGTTAGAGAGAGAGAGAGAGAGAGAGAGAGAGAGAGAGAGAGTCTTCCATCTGATGGTTCATTACCCAGATGGCTGCAATGGTTGGAGCTGTGCAGATCCCAAGCCAGTAACCAGGAGCTTTTTCTGGGTCTCCCATGCAGATGCAGGGGTCCAAAGACTTGGGCCATCTGCCACTGCTTTCGCAGGCCATAGCAGAGAGCTGGATCAAATTGGAGCAGCCAGAAATCAAAGTGGCACCCATATGGGATGCTGGCACTGCAGGTGGTGGTTTTACCCCCTACACCACAGCGCTGGCCCCAGTGATAGCATTCTTTAATTATCTTATAATAAGTCTTGGATATGACCGCATAGTTTTACAAAAAATGGGCACATCACCCTGAAACATGAATTTTAATTTAGCTTTCAATTGTGGTACATGACAAATTTTACTGCCTAACATCACTCTTTCTACTTTCTAATCACGCTTCCAAAATAATGCAATCAAATTTCTTGGTTTAGTGTGTGCTGTTTGTTCTTTGTAAGTATTATATACTGTGTCTGTATAAATAATTCCTCACTGTCAATTCAGGTGTACCATGATTAAGTCCCTTTTTTATTGAAATTTCTGTTTCTGTAGTCATTAATAATTCTTTTTTATTTGCTTAGTTTTCTTTAAACCCACAAACATATTATCCATCACAGTCTAATGACATTACAAAATCCACTCTTATGTTTAATTGCTTTCATCTGAAGCTATTTTGGAAGTTTCTTCGACTTGCTGTGTTCTGAAATGCTGAGTCTTTGTGTGTTTTGTTACAATTTGGGAAGTGTTTTACAGGCCTACTGTTTGTTATATTTTTTGTGCCTTCACGAGCTTTTATTCTGGAAATTTGCTATATTGCTTAAATTTTATTTTATAATGTATTTACTGATTTCCTTTTATTGCAATTAAATAATTTATAGTGATTTTATATTTATAAATTTATAGCAAATTTTAACAATTTAATAATATGTTGAAAATACTGTGCATGTTTGCATCTCATTGTTTTCTGTGATGTCTCTCTCCTAACTTTATAACCTGCTGCCCCTGTATCTCCAATCTTTATGAAATGAATTCCAATATGGGATGCAGGTATTGCAAGCGGCATCTAAATCCTCAATGCTAAAACACTGGTCCTACCAATATTTCTTACTCACCTCCCTCCAATTTATGCTACCAGGTTTTTGTCAACCTATTGCTCAAGAGGATTTGATGTTAAATGCTTCAAGTTTACTCTCCTCATTTCCTCATTTCTTTGCTCAGATGTTTATTTCCTTTTATGAGCAAGAGGGGGGGGATCGATTTTTCATCAACTGATTCATTCCCCAATCCCCAAAACAGGCTGAAGCTGGCAGCCCAGAACTATTTCCAGGTTTATTATAGGGGTGACAAGTACTCCAGTACTTGAGCCATCACTGCTGCCTCCCTGATGGCAGAGAGGCAGGACTTGAACCTGACCACTCCAATATGGGATGCAGACGTCCAGGGTGGTGTCTTAACTGCTGCACCAAACACCCTCCCTCCTGCTGCATTTCTACAAGTACATTTACTATCTGTTCACTTACTTTCAGTCTTCATCCACAGTGATGTAGGCTTGGCTTACAATCATCTCCAAGTTTCATCAAAGTTTCTACTTATGTTTCTTGTTCTCTCGGTTTGAGATGACTGGTAAAGAAAGGTGGAGTATATCTTTACTTCTCCAAATATAGGAGTTTTGTATTTGTTGTAAATGTACTGAAAACTTTTTGAAGGGAATGTTAGACTGGGGCTTACATTGTAAGACAATGAATTTTTCTAACGCTCGTGAGGCTGGCATTCCACATTGGAGCACTTGTTCAGGTCCAGAGTGCTCTATCCAGCTTTGTGCTAATAAGTCTAGGGAGAAGTAGATGGTGACCTGAGTGCTTGTGCCCCTGCCACCTATGGGGCAGACCTGGAGTGACCTTGCCTGGCCCAGCCCTGGTTCTTGTGTGCACTTGGGAATGGAACTGGAGAACACAAGATTCTCTCTCTCTCTCTTTCTCTTTCTCTTTCTCTCTCTCTCCTTCCCTCCCTCCCTCTCTCTTTATCTCCCTCCTCTCCCTCCTCCCCCTGCTCTTCCTCCTTCTTCCTCTCCCTCTGATGCTCTTTCAAATAAATAAAAACACATTTTTAAAAATCATTAAAACCATGTGTATTCATTAAAATAATCAGTTGATGAAAAACTCCTTAAAAAGTAGAGAATGGTAGAGTTTATAAGATTGATGGTATTGGGAAAAAGAAACAAGAATAATGTTAAGAATTCAGGGCAAGGTCAGCGCCTCGGCTCACTTGGCTAATCCTCCACCTGCGGCACCGGCAACCCGGGTTCTAGTCCCAGTTGGGGTGCCAGATTCTGTCCTGGTTGCTCCTCTTCCAGTCCAGCTCTCTGCTGTGGCCCGGGAAGGCAGTGGAGGATGGCCCAAGTGCTTGGGCCCTGCACCCACATGGGAGACCAGGAGGAAGCACCTGGCTCCTTGCTTCGGATCGCTGCAGCGCACTGGCCATAGTGGCCATTTGGGGGGTGAACCAACGGAAAGGAAGACCTTTCTCTCTGTCTCTCTCTCACTGTCTAAAATTGCCTGTCAAAAAAATTAAAAAAAAAAATTCCGGCCAAAAGAAAAAAAAAAAGAAATAAAAGAGCAAGTTCTTCAAAGATAAAGAATTTCTTTGCATTTGATTGTGAATTTAGCATTGTAAAGCATGGAGAATTCTGGATGACATTTCACAAAGATTTCTCTGGTCCTTGAAATGTGAAAGAAAAAACAAAAGTCTGTGTGCATTTATCAGTTTCATCCATTTAAAGTGATTGTCAGTTTTTGCCCTTGTTTATACTCCTGTGGAACTGTGGTCTTCCTGCTTTGCCTTGGGTTGGAGCTACAATATTCACTTTTATCTGCATTTCTGGCCTAACCATCCTCCTGGAGATTTCAGACTTGTCGTTCCCACAATCCCATGAGCCATTTGCCTAAATAAATCTTTCTGTTAATATCCACTCTCTCTAGAGAAAGCTGACTAAGAGAGACAATAGTACGCCTGAAACATACTTCACTGTGGTGGGAAATGTACGGGTCTCCAGAAAAATCAGTTGATGTGCTATTTCAGATCCCAATAGCTCTAGTAAAAGTTGGTGGAGTTACGTAATTGTCCCTGATGTATGTATAGATAACTAGAGCCTATGAGCAGCACAGAGTGACAAAGACATACAAAATGTCAGCTTGTGAGCAGAAAAGTCCAGATGGCTCTGACTTCTTCTCTATCAATCACCTGATAACAAGAGCTTTCAGAAGTGAAAGGATGTTAATGTCAAGTTCAGTTGGTAAGGATGGAAGTGGGCAGGTTGGGGGAGATATGTGTGTGTGTGTGACCAAAGTGGAGACAAAAATAAATTTTTCCTTCTCTATACGTGTGAGTGCATATATCTCTTTCATGTGCTGATTTCATTTTTTTGGATATTTTCCCAGGAGTAGGATAGCAGGGTCATATGGTAAATCTAATTATCCCTGTTAGAAGATGACATGATCCTTTATATAGGGGAACAAAAACACTCCACTAGGAGATTATTAGAACTCATAAGAGCATTCATCAAATTTCCCAGACATAAAATCAATACACACACAAAAAGTCACAGCATTCTCATACACCGACAATGCCCTAGCCGAGAAAGAACTTATGAGATCAGTCCCATTCACAGTAGCTACAAAAAAATGAAATAATTTTGGATAAGTTTAACCAAGGATGTGAAAGTTCTCTACAATGAAAATTACAAAACATTAATGAAAGAAATAGAGGAAAACACAATAAACAAATGGAAAAATCTTCCATGTTCATGGATGGGAAAAATAATGCAATCAAAATGTCTATACTACCAAATAAGTTTACAGATTCAATGTGATTCTATTCAAAATTTTGAGGAGATTCTTCATTGAACTAGATAAAAAGCAGTCTAAAATTTACATGGGAACACAGAAAGCAAAGCTAGAAGCACCATAATACCAAATGACATTTGTAATTTTATAAACAAATTTTACTTGCCAGGATTTCTTTTTCCCTGCCTTTTATCCAAAATATTTTATAGTTTAATTCATTTGTTCAATAAAATAATTATTTCCAAATATTTTCCTGAAATATAGCTAAATGGCATATATTTCGATATTCCAGATAGACAAGAATGTTATAACGTGAGAAAAAGTGGAAAAATTGACTATCAGAAACCTTTTTTTTTCTGTAGATTTTAGAAGGAAGATAAATTTATATTTTCGAAGAGAACGTGAAGTACTTAGACCTGAAATTAACAATGCTAACCTGGTAACCATTCAGTGGATAAGAGTAGAGAGAATAAGGTGAGAGAGAATAAGGTGATGGCCTGACCCAACGAGGAATTAAAGAAGCAGTCCAAGCAACAGATGAAAATATCTGTAATGGAAGCAGATGATAAGGAGCTCATGTGGATTTTGACCTCTCCTAGTTCCTCCTCATGAAAAGCAATTCCGATGCTGGTGTTGTGGTGCAGCATGTTAAGCCACCAATCACAACACCAGAATCCTAGGTCCAAGTGCCAGTTCAAGTCCAGCTGCTCCACTTCTGAATCAGCTTCCTGCTAACGGGCCTGGGAAAGCAGTGGACAATAGCCCAAACATTTGGTCCCATTCCCCTACATGAGAGTCAAGGATGGAGTTCTTAGCTGCTGGATTTGGCTTGGTCCAGACCTGGGTATTGTGGTCACTTAGGGAATGAAGCAGCAGATGGATTTCTCTCCCCAGAAGCCCCCATCTTTATATCTCCCTCTCAAATAAATATATTTTAAATAGGGACAAAGAAAGGAAGCGAGGAAGGAGGCAAGAAGGCAGAAAAGCAGGAAGGAAGGGAGGGTGGTAGGGTGGGAGGGAGGGAGGAAAGCAATTCAGTGTTGAGAGAACCAGGCTGTTCTTATAGCTGAGTTTACTAAGCCAAATTGTAAAATTGACAGTGTGTGAGGGTTTTTTTTTTTTTAGTTTATTTTTGTTAGTTTTATTTTTCATAGCACTACCCATCATGCCTCATCATGTAGTGATAAGAACCCTATTTCTCCTCCCTATTAAATTATGATCTCAGGGCTGGTGATGTGGCATTGTAGGCTAAGCCTCCGCCTGCAGCACCGGCATTCCATAAGATCACCCATTCATTTCCCAGCTGCTCCTCTTCCAATCCAGCTCTCTGCATATGGCCTGGGAAAGCAGTAGAAGATGGCCCAAGTGCTTGGGCCCCTGCACCTATGTGGGAGACCCAGAAGAAGCTCCTGGCTCCTGATTTCAGATTGGCTTATCTCCAGCCATTGCAGCCTCTTGGGAGTGAACCAGCAGGTGGAAGACCTCTCTCTCGGTCTCTAACTCTCTTTGTCTGTAACTCTGACTTTCAAATAAAACAAATAAAATCTTAAAAAAATACTAATCTCGGAAAGTATGTGATAAATGCAATTAATAAAGAATGGATAAGTAGTAAAGAACATTCATTGGATCACACTTGCCAATGCTATGTGCAATTCAGGAAGGATTATTCATGAATTGTACATGATTAGAAGGATCTGAGGAATCATCTGACACACATATAAAGTGATATGAACATTTGAGGGTGTAGGAAGTCCCTAATATTTCACCTTAAAATATAAGTACATAGGTGAAGGCCTATTTTAGCTGTGTGTGATATATATCATAATGATAAAGAAAATGAAAAACCAGAAATAGGGGTTATCACTTAACCTACATTTTGAAAAATTTGATTCACTTCTTTAGATCTAATAATCAGCAAAATGATTCCTTAATCCTTCCCTGCATTGAAATTCTGTGGTAGATCCCTAAAACTTTTAAAATTTATGATTTAGTGGCTCTAGACCAAGTATTAGAGATTTACATTGCAAAATAAAAAATATATCAATATCAAGGGCACAAATGTACATTGTAAATTAAAATGGAAAAATTCAGTACTTTACATAATAAGAACAGCAGATTAGTGAAACTGCTTCTAAAGGTAGGAATCTTACATATGAAGGCATTCGTGGCTTAATCTGTGTTTACATAAAGTTTTCCAACATATAGATGCCATTTTACGAATGTTATTTTGTATCCTATTGATATGGGACGAGTCAAGGAGATAGATTAGGTTCATGAACTGGAGATCACTCTTTCTCCACCCCTATATAATCCCACCTGTATCCACCTACCTGTCAATCAGACTATATAACCACTTCCCTTTGGGAAGTGAACAAGAAGACTCTGGAGGGGGAGAGGCTCTCTCTGTCTCCTTGCTCACATGCCCACCTGTGCTTTCTGGCTTGCTCCCTCTCCCCTGGTGGACCCCTGGAACTAGTGGCCCACGTTCCCTTAATAAAGCCTCATGTTCTGTGCTCTTCTCATTTTCTAAATAAACTAAGCTTTTCCATACTACATGCTGTGTTTGAGCCTGTGCTTAGATTTCTTCTCTAAGTAAAAAGAAAGAGCCTGAGTTACTAATTTTTAGGCTAACCTAGCCCACAGCACTATGATAAAATACAATATCATTGCTCTTTATTTTCAGAACACGTATGACGGTTTTAAATACATTATATTTTATTCTGTTTATGAACTTATAGCTTTTTAACTGTCATCTGCTTCTCTAACTACAATATGAATTCCACAAAAGGGCCCTTATTTCACATTGTATCCCCTGAGCCTTGGACAAACTATGGCACTTATTTGGACTTCTTGAAGGGATACCACAAAACTGGAACACTGTAATACACATTTAAATACCTTAATTATTGGAATCTCATGAATTCTGAAATTTATTATAACAAGTACATCATAAGTTAGTTAATTTATAGTGGAACATTTATTTTAATTCATCTTTTAAAAATATGAAATCTACAAGTATAACATATTCATTAAAAGCTGCAAGTACTAGAAGCAAAAGAAATGACACCTGCTGGGTTCAGACAGCTAATTTAAATTCATAAATGAAACTAGGATGAATTTAGTTAATGTAAAGCAAGCATGGTTATGTCAGTAAGGATACGAAGATCACATTCTTCCAACTGTTGTCAGCTACCTGCTGTGTGTACAAAAAGAATAATGTAAGAATTTCTGAGACTCCAAATCTCTTTTATTTTAAGATTTGGATTAAAATTCGTATTTTCCCAACTCCTCTGGAATGACATATTTCAGTGCTCAAATATATAGTAAAAACACAGAAAAGGAAATATATACTTTTAATGGAATTTTACATACTGAAATGAGTTGGAAGCGGTTTATTTAAATAGTCATGAACAAGCAAAACTAGAACAAAAGTTGTGAGACATTAAATTTAGTGGATAAAATTAATATATGAGGAAAAACAAAACATTGGTATTCAATGGCAATTCTTTACTCGTAGCCTGGATTTTGCACGTTCAGTCACCTTTTTCTTTAACCTAATTATGGAAATGAGAGAGTATTGTATGTAATTCATATTTATCAACTGTGACAAAAAAAGTTATCTAATAAAGGCATAATGACAGTTTGACTAAAAATTTAGTGTATTTTTAATTTACTGACAGAGGAACAAGATAGCTCATTTCATTGGAATAATTTCTTGAGTTGAGTGCTAGATCAATGGTGATTTTTCTACTTTCACGTATGGGCCATATTTTCCTTGAAAATTATGTAAACAAATAATGCTAAGTAAAAAGTTTCTCAAATGAGTTTTTTCTTCTCTTTTAGTCTCCCACCTTTCCTTTTCTATTTCATCTTGGTCCAATAAACTAATAGTGTTAACTTTTAGATTAGTAAGCTTTTCAGTAACTATAGGTTTTTTAAGATAATAGAGATATAATTTTTATAATATTTATGATATAGTCCAAGCAAAATCATTTTTATTAACTTTTATTTATTTAAAGATAGTCTGAGACAGACAGATTCAAAGAGAAATCTTCCATCTACTTTTTCACGCCCCAAATGCCTACAACATTTGCGATTATTATCTGATTAATCCTTTCCCATGTGTTTTTAAACAAACTATCTTGGATGTGGAGAAAAATGTAACCTAATACATTGTTACTGAGAAAAAATTGATACAATCATTATGGAAGATAGTATGGAGATTCCTCAGAAATCAAACAATATCTACCATATAATCCAGCCATCCCACTCCTTGGAATACACCTAAAAGAAATGCAATCAGCACTACCTGTACCCTCATGTTTATAGTAGTTCAAAGTACAATAGCTAAGATATGTAATAAACCTAGATACCCATCAACAGATGACTAGACAAAAAAAAGTTGTTTATATACACAGTGGACTGCTAATAAACTGTAAAAAAGAATGAAATCTTGTCTTTTGAAACAAAATGGATGCTGCTGGAGAACACTATGCTAAGTGAAATAAGCCAGATCCACAAATACAAATGTCACATGCTTTCTCTGGTTTGTGATAGCTAATATATAGAGTACCAAAAATTTAATGTATATGAGTGGAATTGACATTTTGTGATTTGATTATTGTGTGTAGCTCTTGCCTATATGCCTGCTAAACAGTAATCTTTCTAGTTTTTTTTTTTTTTGAACCCTTTATTTAGTGGTACATTAAGCCTATGACTATAAAGTTAGTTAAAATATGTTATCACAAAATTTAATAGAGAAAGAAAAAAGGAAGGAGGGAGGGAGGGATATATAATTATATTGTTATCTATGAACCACATGAAATCAATTATCTTTATAATAATAGACATACATTATTAAGCAAGAATAAACAATCATGTACAAAAATAAAATTGACCACCTAATGTTTTATAAATATAACAAATATTGTAAGATAATTCCTGTATACCCTATACACAGTTTCTCCTAATGATAAGATTTTTACATTGCCATAATATAACTCTCAAAACTAAGAATCTATTAACTGAACTCCAGACTCTATTTGAATTTCCATAGTGTCTCCTTTTAATGTCTTCTTTGAGCTAGAGCAGTCCATGCAGAGTATCACAAAGCTGTAAGTCATTATACATCTCCTTTTGCCTATGACAATTTCTATATTTCCTTATTTTTAAGACCCTGAACAACGTTGAAGAAACATGTAATATTTGTTCATGTATGGCTTAACTCATGATTCATACCTGCAGCTGCATCCTAACTTCACTTTTTTCTTTTTTGGATAGATTACCATTCTACTATGTAGATATATTCATGCCACTATATAAAAACATGGCACATATGTAAGTACAGTGTTGTCCAATTCATGATGAATCTCTGGATTGTTTCCACTTCTTAGACATTTTGAATAATGCTGCAACAAACATTGGTATACAAGCATCTGCTGAATTAACTGTTTTCAATATTTGGGGATTATACTTAGTAGAAAAATATTTGGTAATATTCTAATTATATGTTTAGGGTTATCAACAGTTTTCAAACTGTTTACAATAGTGGCTTCACCATTTTCCATTCCCATTAGCAATGTACAAAGTTTCCAATTTTCACGTTCTTAACAACACTAGTCATTTTTTATTAGTACATTACTTAAAGAAGAGTTTTGCTTATTCAAACGGGATTCTACTAAATTAAAGCTTGCAGTTACTCAATTACTTTAATCATTTCAATATAGTTGATTAGGTCCAGCACTGTATTAGGTTCTCCAGAGAATTCAAATCAATAGGATCTCTCTCTACCCCAGATACATGCATATATATCTACATATGTATGTAGATATACGATATATTGTATTTCACGTCATATATGTAAATATATCACTATATATATATAGACACAAAGAGAGACATTCCATAGACATCTCTGCGTGTATATCTTTATATATCTATCTATCTATATATATATATATTTTATATAGATATATGTAAACAGTTGGAGAGCTATTATAAGGACTTTGCTCACATGATTATGCAGGCTGGTAAATTCTTTTGTTAAAAGATTTAATTATTGGTGCTGGCACTGTGTGCAGCTGGTTAATGCCCTGGCCTGAAGCACCAGTGTCCCATAGGGGTGGCAGTTCGAGACCCAGCTGCTCCACTTCCTGTCCAGCTCTCTGCTATAGCCTGGGAATGCAGTAGAAGATGGCCCAAAGACTCCCTGCACCCACGTGGGAGACCAGGAGGAAGCTCCTGGCTCCAATTGCCCATTGAAGCCAATTGGGGAATGAACCATTGGATGGAAGACCTCTCCCTCTCTCTGCCTCTCCTCTCTGTGTAACTCTGATTTACAACTAAATAAATAAATAATTTTTTAAAAGATTTTATTTATTTAGTTGCAAGTCAGAGTTACAAAGTAAGAGGGAGAGAGAAAGATCTTTCATCAGCTGATTCACTCCCCAGATGACCATAATGGCTAGGGCTGGGCCAGGCCAAAGCCAGATGCTTCTTCTGGGTCTCCTAGATGGGTGTCAGGGGCCCAAACACTTGGGTCATCTGCTGTTTTTCCTAGGCATTAGCAGGGAGCTGGATTGGAAGTGGGAAAGATAGAACTTGAACCAGCACATACATGGGATCCCACTGCCATTGCAGGCAGAGGAGTTACCCACTATGCCACAATGTTACTACTGGGTTGTCAAATTCTTTTCTTTTATTTATTTTTGTTTTTATTTGACAGATAGAGTTAGACAGTGAGAGAGAGAGAGACAGAGAGAAAGTTCTTCCTTCCATTGGTTCAGCCCCCAAATGGCGGCTATGGCCGGCGCTGTGCCAAGAGCCAGGTGCTTCCTCCTGGTCTGCCACACGGGTGCAGGGCCCAAGCACTTGGGCCATCCTCCACTGCCTTCCTGGGCCAGGGCCACAGCAGAGAGCTGGACTGGAAGAGGAGCAGCTGGGACTAGAACCTGGGGCCCATATGGGATGCCAGCGCTGCAGGTGGAGGAGTAACCAAGTGAGCCATGGTGCCGGCCCCCAAGGGTTGGTAATTCTAAACCTACAGGCTAGGTTGGCAGGCTAGAGACCTAGCCAGAAAATAACTGATGTTGCTGATGGATTCCGAATGTCATATGCTGGCAGAATTCCCCTTCTCAAGAGGAGTCTTTTTTGTGTTCTTACTATATTTGATATTTAAAGCCATCAATTGATTGGGTGAGGTAGACTCATATCATGGTCAGTGATTTCCATTACTGGAAAGGTACTGCTTTAAATTATACTCCATTTAACAAATACCTTCATAGAAACATCTAGAATAATAATTGACTTCATAGTTGTAAACGATAGCCAAGCCAAATGAACACATAAAATTGGTCATTTCATCTACTAATTCATTGTTTAGCTACAACTTACTATAGGGATTGCTCTCAGTACTATATTGCTCACATGTTTTTCAAGAAATAAAAGTGCAACTCTTATCTATTGCATTTCACATTAATTTGAAGTACCCAAATGTATTTTGCCATATTCATGTCACACAATAAATACTATACAAGTAGAAAATATATATCCTATTTTCTTTAAAGCAGGGATATTAATATAAAAGTGCTATGTATAAAAATAAGTGAATAAGGCTGGCGCCGCAGCTCACTAGTCTAATCCTCCGCCTTGCGGCGCCGGCACACCGGGTTCTAGTCCCGATCGGGGCGCCAGATTCTGTCCTGGTTGCCCCTCTTCCAGGCCAGCTCTCTGCTGTGGCCAGGGAGTGCAGTGGAGGATGGCCCAAGTGCTTGGGCCCTGCACCCCATGGGAGACCACGATAAGTACCTGGCTCCTGCCATCAGATCAGTGTGGTGCGTCAGCCGCAGCATGCTGGCCGCGGCGGCCATTGGAGTGTGAACCAACGGCAAAAGGAAGACCTTTCTCTCTGCCTCTCTCTCTCACTGTCCACTCTGCCTGTCAAAATAAATAAATAAATAAATAAGTGAACAAATACTTTCAAAAAGAAATTAAACATAGTGTTATTGGAACATCCTAGATACATTTCTTGTTGTACATATTTCATCTATAATTTCTATAAAAATCCACTTTATTAAAGACAAAAATTATGCAACATATTTTAATTTTTAGCCTTTGTAATATATTTAAAATAGTCAATCATCTGATTTTTGACAGTAAGCTAAAGATAATCACAACATGGTGTACTCTATTATATTTTTGTCTAGTTGACTATACTACATGTTAGTTTCTTAATGTATAATTTTTTTTACTTTTTTCTAAGATTTTTGATCTAGTGCCATGTTGAAATTTAGAAGTAATTCATGTAACTTATGATTTTTTTTTACTTATTATTAATTACACTAAATCAAATAAGTGATTTATACACTCACCATTTGGTAAAGGACTGGATGAGAAAAAATAATAATTTTGATTTTACATGAGAGATTACTTTCTTGGAGACTAAATTTCCTTATTTTCACAATTAATATTTTTTGTATAAATTGGAATTACTCCCAAATTCAATAAACATCTAAATATAAAGATATTAACTATATAGATTTAATTAATTAAAATAAGAACATAGAAATCAAAGCAATTATGACTACATTGATAAATGATACTTTGCTGTAATAATCAATGTGTTTTATGCTTTTAGTAATTCCTCTCTGTCCTATAGTCCTTTCTGCCATCATATTTGTCATTTCCTAGAAGCTAGAATATCACCCCAGGATAGCAGAAAAAATGATTTTAAGTTTAAAATTAAAGTACTGCTTTCACATTGCATGTCATGTGACTTTGAATTCAAACCTGTGTGGGAATCACAACATAAATTATATTCCATGAAATTCTATGGATTTGTAAGTACATCTGATGAGATAAGATCAGTCGTTCACTTTTCCCAAAACCATACTGGAATGTTTTGTTGTTGCTTGTCTAGGCATAATTCACCTTCACCGCTTGCTCTGTGTCTAGGAGATCACAGCAGAATTTACTGTATCGGTTACTTCTCTTGTCCATTAGTAGAATATTACAGGTAGGGAGGAGCGTGGGTCATGGGATATATCTTGTCCCTACGTCCCCACAACTCTCTTGCTACTTGTTTCCATTGGATGGCTGGATCCCTCTTCTCAACTCTGCAAGCTGTGGAATTCCTAACATTTTTCTTGCCATGCAATTACCTCTTTCTGCTTACAAAATCTGTTACATCCTCAGATCTGAGGTTTCACTGTTGGTGCCTGGGCTGAGAAGAGCAACAATCACTGGAAAATAGTCCATTTCTTAAACCTTTTCATTGTTCCATTTATTTGTTATCTTTTCCTGTTAGGACACTGACACCGTTCCAAGTGATATAAATATTTCTCTTTTTTTTCACTTTTATTTAATAAATATAAATTTCCAAAGTACAACTTTTGGATTATAGCAGCTCCCCCCCCATAACCTCCCTCCCACCCACAACCATCCCATCTCCTGCTCCCTCTCCCATCCCGTTCTTCATCAAGATTCATTTTCTATTATCTTTATATACAGAAGATCAATTTAGTATATACTAGGTAAAGATTTCAACAGTTTGCACCCACACAGAAACACAAAGTATAAAGGACTGTGTGAGTACTAGTTATACCGTTAATTCACATAGTACAACACATTAAGGACAGAGATCCTACATGAGGAGTAAGCGCACAGTGACTCCTGTTTTTGATTTAACAATTGACACTCTTGTTTATGGTATCAGTAATCTCCCTAGGTTCTTGTCATGAGTTGCCAAGGCTATGGACACCTTTTGAGCTCACCAACTCTGATCATAGTCATAGTGGAAGTTCTCTCCTCCCTTCAGAGAAAAGTACCTTCTTTTTGATGACCCGTTCTTTCCACTAGGATAAATTTGGGATATAAATATTTCTAAGCTGCTTTTGGTCATTAGGAGAGAAGTAAGTTAGGTGTGAGCATGTGTTGAAGGACTTTACCCAAATAAACCCAGTCTCAGTCTCTGTTTTTGGGCCCATATGAGTTCTCTGTTTTTGAGAAGTTTAATTTCTGCCTATACAGAAATGGACTGTGCTGCTTGCATTAAATTATCTGCAAAACACAAACTCTGGTCAAGGAATGAAATGCACTGATTAACAGTCTTTCTTAGCACACACAGTTCTGTGAAATTTGGAGATGGCTTGTGTTAACCTGTCAGCATTTTTTATTGATAACAGTGAGATAGATGATTTGAATCTGGTCTCTTTGCAATCTGTGGAGAAATTTCCTTTAGGGGTAGTTAGGTAGACTAGTCAAAAACAAAGCCAAACAAAAAAATGTTCAGAAGCTCCAGGTGAGTCTCCATGTTTTGGCTTTTGAGTCTGAGGTATTTCATGCACAGGTAATGATCAAGAGGAAATGTTTTCCTGGTACACACCTCTCAGAGTGAGGACAATTGAAGCACATACATGGCTTCTCTGGATACCTTGTTCTGAGACAGTCTTCACCTGTGGTGCATATCTGCATTTCAATAAAGCAGCTGTATTGCCTTCTCTTTCTGCAATAGGCTATAGATTTATAATCATTGTCATGTGTGTCTTCTTTAACTGTCAAACCCTTCTGTCGTTGTTAATGTAACCTCGCTTGTCATATGTAGTCCAAGGAAGCAGCAGTCCTTATGTCATCTATTGGCATATGGCACAGTTCAGACGTGGTATGAAAGACAGTAGCAAAAGCCCTTAGCTCAGAAAGACCAGAGGAAGCGTTCACTAGGTGTTTGAGTACTGGTGGACGGGTGGCTTTCTCTTTCTGGTGTGTACAAAAAAAGAGTCACTAAAGCACTGACGACCAGGTCTAGAGAATTTTTGTCATTGGGGAAAGAGCTCCACGATGTTTCTCATGATCTGAGTGTGTGGGAGTTGCACTGGAAGGAGATGGTAGCCGACGCCAATGCAGGGAGATGAGAGAAATCCAACCATGAAAAATGATCCCATCTTCCACGTAGGTTAGTACCTGTGAACACAGGTCACAGAAACTATGCTAGGGCTAAAAGACCTATTTTAAGTGAAGAAAATACATACTGGGTTGAGATTTTTCCATTGTTTGTACCAGTGTTGGGTACAGCAGGTTGTAGCAGCCCTTGTGACGACAGCATTCAACACAGTGCCTGTTGGAGTCCCGGCCGCACCACTTGCATTCCAGCTTTCACTAATGCTCCTGGAAAGGCAGCAGCAGATGGCACAAGTGGATGGGTCCCTGTCACCCATGTGGGAGTCCAGGAAGAAGCTCCTGGCTCCTGGCTTCAGCCTGACCAAGCCATGGTGGTTGTAGCCATCTTGAGTGAACCAGCGCATGGATGAGCTAGCTCTCTTTCTTTCCATCTCTTTTTCTATACTTCTACTTTTCACATAATTAATAATAATAATAAAAAAAACCAACAGAATATGGGGCCATCTCTGCAGCATACTGTGGGTAAAGCCACCAGAGGCAACCCATATGAGTGCCGGTTCTTGTCCCACCTGCTCCATTTCTGATCCAGCTAATGCCCCTGAGAATACAGCAGAAGATGGCCCAAGTACTTGGGCACCTACACCCACGTGGGAGACCTGGAAGAAGACCCTGAATCCTGGCTTCAGATAGCCCCAGCTCTGGCCTCTGCAGATATTTAGGGAATGAACCACCTGATGGATGACTGATGAAAGATCACTTTCTCTGTCTTTGTCTCTCTGCCTCTGTCTCTTTCTCTCTTTCTCTCTCTCTGTAACTCTGCCTTTCAAACAAATAAAATGTTTTCAATTATTTCTCTACATTTATGCAGATGAATACTCTATACATGTCTAAATTAATATACCCCTGATAAAATGGCAATTTTGAAATAATGTTTGCGATTTGTTAAACTACAAATAAGGTATTTCATAAATCAGATTTATGTAATTCAGTCATACATGAAGTCAGTCTCTATACAAAATATTGTTGGAGCTATTGTGACCCCTAGGAATTTGTTCTATCAACGATGAAGTATGAAGCCAATAAACACAAGAGAAGGGGGTTTTTTTTAGCAAGGTTTTATTGAAGTGAACAGAGACAGCTCTCACAGCTAAGCAGAACAAGAAGTGGGATCTTCTGAAATGCAAAGGCCTTATTTAAAAGAGGAGAGACAATACTCCCTGGAAAGCAGTTGGAAGGGGCTTTTCTCCACAAGGAAAAAAAAAAAAAAAACATTGAAAGGAAGTAATGTGGATGTTTTAGAGCCTCTGGAAAGTTTGTACAGGGCCCTTTATGCCCCTCTATGAGCTCATCCTGCCTTCTTGTCCCCCATGCCTCTCATTTTGTCAGTCTCTGGTACCAGTTGTCTCCACACCCAATTTTCTTTAGCTTGTTAACAGAAGGTCCTGAGCTTTCATCCCTTATCTCATTAATTTGTAGTCTCCAGGTTTTCTGTTTTTTGAGTCTCCTGTTTAGTTTTTGTTAGGCCTATCTCATAAGTGCATGCCCTTGTTTTGCTTAGTAATCAGCGGCCACTCTCCAACCAGGTAACCCCACCCCCATCCTTAGCTGTGTGCCTAAGTCTAACCAACCTAGGATGTTTTCTGCTACCTGCATCAATATGGCAGCATTTGTGCTTTCAAAGTAGAAATTATTCTCTTAACTTCACAGGAAATTATCAAATACAATGATTTTATACTGTTTTAAAAGTTAAAACTAAGACAAGCACAATATTTGATCTCTGTCACCTAAAGAAGCAAAAGGTGGGATTGCTATTGAATTTTTGAAAACAACAAACAGGCAAATGGAAAAATTACAATAAATTATATAATTTAATCTATGTTAATTACTATATAATTAAATTGTAATGTAAATTATGATATAATATACAACCTAATAATATAGTAATTTATTAGATAAATTATATAATAAAGTAAGTAATAAATACTGAGCAAATGTATAGGAGGCAGTAGGTAACAAATATTTAGTATTTATACACTCTTTTGAATATTTATACTCTTTAATAATTTATATGTTTTATTTATTTGAGAGGCAGAGAGAAAGAAAGAAAAAAATGTCCTACCTGCAGATTTACTCCTCAAATACCTGCAGCAGAGGAGTGAGGGACTCAATCCAGTCTGCCACGTGGGTATCTGATACCCAAGTAGTTGGCCGTAACCTGAGCCATATCTGCTGCCCCCTGGGGTGTGCATTAGGATTAAGCTGGAATCAGGACAGAGTCAGAAATCAAAACCCATACATTTTGATATGGGATGGGAATGTCCCAATTAGCATGTTAACTACTATGTCGAACAGCCACCCTTCATAAGTTTAATTCCTTGCCAAGTTTAAGTCTTCCTTAGAGTCCAGGGAGTTATAATCATCAAATAAAATTATTCCCAGTGACCAGACAGTCTCATTTTTAACAACATTCAATAAACTATAAAAAGAGTTTTAAATATATTGGGTTATTATTTAATTATAAAAATAATTTCATGTATATATTAAGTAGGATTTATACCCCCCAACACAGGCACACATGCATGGAATATAATAGAAATAATAAATTTAGTTAATTACAAATTGTAACATAAAATAGTGATTTCAAAAAAAAAAGAGGAAAACAGAAAGACTGGAGTTAGGAGATTGTTGAAATGATAAGCATACTCATATATCATATTTGGAAAATAAAACTATGTTCCATCCCTGTTGTAGCTTTAAGTCTAATGTTTCCCAACTTAAAGCCTTGCTTAAATATTTACTTATCCTTCTCTTTTACCCTCATCTATATGCATTGAGGTTATGCTCGTTTGTAGGGATTAACTGTTACATTACTCATCAGAATAGAACAAAATGAAGTCCTCCATGACAGCATTTATAAATCCCTGTATATGTGTAATTATTATTCATTATAATTTGAACTTTGGCTATTTGTGTAGGGATTATTTTCCACTCATCTTGTTAGTGACTATTAGCTAATTGGAGTCATAAAAACTCACTATATATACACACATATATACATATATTTTACATACATATATACATTTATATTCTTGCATATGTATATTTACATATACATATATATACACATGTATAAATACATACATATATGGACTGATAGATATGTAGATATGGCTAGTATCAAGAAGTCAGGTTATCCCTGGTCAGAGCTAATTTAAGAAAATCTGATCAGATTTTAATTAAATGAAACACAGAAGGAATAAGCTTGAGTGCCTACACAGCAGTGCAAGCACTGCAGTTCACAATAACCTATCATATGATTCACGAAGAAAGAATCTGAGGTCTTCAAACATAAACCGTTATAAGGAGATGCAAACCTTAATTACTGTGATTTGATGACCACACTGCATATATTTATTGAAATATCAAACTGCATTCCATTAATATTTATAAATATTACATATTAATAAACGTTTATGTGTTTAAGGATATGGAAATTCTAGTTACCTTGATTTGATCATTACACATTGCATACAGGTGTGTAAAATCATACTAATCCTCAAAAATAGATATTTAAGATAATAAATAAGACATGTAAAGTAATTAAAGTAATCAAATTAAGTGAAACCTTAGCTATCACGATGTATTTTAACTTTTTAGAAAAATAGAATGATTTTAGTTACAAAAATACTTGTATCACACCTCTGGTTCACTAACTTGGCAGTTCTGCAATATGGTCAAGACCTTGCCCTTGAGCTGCGGTGTTCCCTTATTTTTATAAAAGAAATAATACTTTATAATAATTTTATATTAGAATTATATAAGAGTTGATCTGAGCTTAGGAATTACAACTGTGGGGTCCAGTGTCATAGGACAGCAGGTAAAGCCACCCCACCTGCATTCCAGCATCCTGTTTGGGTGTCTGTTCAAGTCCTGGCTGCTCTACCTTCCAATCCAGCTCCCTGCTAATGGCCTGGGAAAGCAGCAGAAATCACCCATGTGGGGGACCCAGAGAAGTTCCTGGTTCCTGGCTTTGGCTGGCCCAGCCATGGCCTATGTGGCCATTTGGGGAGCAAAAAAAAATTGATGGGAGATCTCTCTCTCTCTCTTACTCCCTACTTTTCTGTAACTCTGCCTTTCAAATAAATAAAATGACTCTTAAAACAAAGACTTATAACAATGAATCCCTGTCTCTCAAAGTGGATATGCAGAAATTTGAAGCTATTAATAAAAGTGACAGTCAAAATTATCAATCATCTAAGGGTTGGCTACAATAAAGAATCCATAAATCTATTATGTTAGATTAAGAAAATGATTAATTTTATTAGGATATGTATACATGCCATTTACAAATTGTACAATCATGAAAGTAAATACTCTCAAATATTGTACTACACTACTTATCAGATATTATATTATCTCTACCCAGAAAAATATACAAACAAAAGACGAGTACAATACCATCAGGTGCTTTGTGGCTGTCTACAAGTGCGGATTTTAAAATATATAATCATAAAGGCCAGACATTGTGGTGTAACAGGTTAAGTTGCTGCACAGAATCGGCATAGCCCATATCCGAAGGGCCATTCAAATGTCCAGCTATCCTATCTCAAATCCAGCTTCTTGATAAGGCAACGGAGAAGGCAGCAAATGATGACTCAAGTACTTGGGCCCCCTGTAGCCATGTTGGAGAGCTGAATAGGGTTCCAGAATCCTGGCTTTGGCCTGGCCCAGGCCATGGCAACCATTTGGAGAATTAATCAGCAGATGGGAGATTCTCTCTGTTTCTCTTTCTCTTTCCTGCTGCTTGCTCTCATTCTTTCTACCTCTATCTCAATAATCATTCTTCCTTTCAAATAAATAAAACATTAAAATATAGCCATATGTAATCAAAACAAATGAAAATAGGTGCAAATTAACTTATTGCTCTTCATTTAGTTAAATTAGTTGTGTTTGAAATACGCTAATGTTGCTTTGTGTAATTTAGAATACAATTATATAAATACCTCACATAACAGAGACATAAATACATGACTATATTCATTTCAGTTCTATTTTATTTGACAAAAATATTGTGTATCTGTGCAGCAGTGAGGGAGAGAGAGAGATAGGAGATAGGAAATAAGGATTTGTATCATGTAAATATAAATGATTTAAATGGTGAAGTAAAATAAAACAAATATACAATGTTAGAGAATTCACTGAAAAAATATTGCTAGGAAATTGTACAGAATGTTGATGCAAAAATGCTTTTGTCTTGCCCTGAAACTTTAAGTTTTGTGGGTGTTTTATTAAATTTCCCCATAGTTATACTTATCAAAGTGTAGCGTACACTTGCATTTTAAAAATTTATTGTGATTCTTAGGACTCATTTCTAAAACAGTCCTTTTCTATGAACTCCTTTTGTGCTGTTGGAAAGGAGTTAGCATTCATGCTCTTACATTCAATTCTTCAGAAGCATAAATCTTTTCAAATGCAAGTGGGTCCTAAAAATAGTTGCTGGCCAGTAAGGATTAATCAGCGTCTGCTCATGTTATCAGTTATTTATATACCATTTTCCCCACTGAGCATCCCTACTGCCATAATGACCTGACTGCAAGCAGTGCAGGCTGCTGAGACAAAGCTCACAAGCTGATTTTATTGCTGTAGACACATTGAACAACAGAAGAGCCCATCAGCATAGGAACATTAGGATGCTGGAAGTGCATTGCAATCATTTGCAATAGGAAATCACTGTACAGTGTGAATATATATCAAATCTTGTGTCTTTTATCCCTTCAAAAAAAGTCTATAATACCCAATAAGTTATACTTTAACAGCAATGATAAATCTTTTCTTCTGACCTAATGAAAATGAAAATCATCACCACTACTTGCAAATGGTTTAATAGTTAACCTCTTCAACTTAGCGCAACACAGTATTGGGCATATTGGATTAGCTTCTATTGACTTAGAATAGTAACCTTCATATCCACAATACACAATGGTATTTTATTTTTGGGCCTGGGTCCCTGATGTTTCATAGAGAACCCTTCTTCATAAACCATAGTAATTGAATTTGTGTTACCTATAAGTCATTGATCTAGACAACTATTTATATGTAATTCAACTGTCCTTGAAAAACCAAATGGTCTGTGTGTGTATGTGAGGGGGAGGGGGAAGATTCATTTCAAAAGCCAAAATAAATGTGGAATAATTGTTTCTAGTTTACACCAATTATAACTACTATAGCTTCCATGATTTCATATTATGGTATCTTACACAAGATATATGTCTAATGGCATGCCATATTAGTTGGTTGACAGAATACGGTTATCATAAAAATGTATTATTACAAGCACTTATTTTTATATAGCATTTTATTTGTTTGCAACATAAAACTCCGATGAAAATCTTGAAAATACTTTTTCACTGTCACAACCTCATTATACAGAATGCTACCAAAATAAATTTTTAGAGATTTTTTTAAATCAAATAAAATACTCATTTTGTTTAATTCTGTCTATGACATAAATAGGAATAAAATGCTTTTAAATATTTGACAAAGCAATTGCAAAGCAAATAAATCAAAAAGTAAATTATGAAATGTCACCATTATTCATTTTTGGGTGATTGTGCACACATCTATATATTTAATACTTAAAAGTTATCATTATTTATAGGTATATCCTATGATAATAATCTCAAAGTCGTCAATGTGAAGCAATCAAAATCAATTTACCAATACAAGTGTGAATAGTGTACTGCTCCTATCTTAATTAATTAATATTGGATTCAAGAAATAACTGACATAAATAAAGCATAGGGTCTGTCTTTGTGACAGTTTGTATTCACTGCCTGTGAAGCTAGCATTCCATGTCAGAAGGCTGGTTCTTGTCCCGACTGCTTGAGTTCCAGTCCAGCTTGCTGCTAATATTCTTGGGAAGGCAGTACGTAATGGCCCATGTATTTTGGGTCCCCACCACTAAATTGAGAGACAGGAATGGAGGTCCTACCTCCTGTCTATGGTCTGATCCAAACCTTATCGTTGTGGCCATCTGGGGAGAATTGGCAGATAGAGGAGCTCCACCCTTTCTCTCTCTCCCTCTCTCTCTTCCTCTGTCTCTCTCCCCGCCCCCATCCCTACCTCTCAGTTTCTGTCACTCCTCTCACTCTGTCTCTTCCTCTCCTTGTTATGCTCTGCTTTACAAATAAGAAAGTATAAGTGTTTACAATAAATTCATGAATATAACATATGAATGATTATTTTTTGAATAAGGAATGTAGTAAAAATAACCAAATTGAGTCCAAATCTGATAGACTGAGTATGATATAAACTTTTAAATCTGCTCTGGCATGAATTGAGTGCCAGGTCATCTAGCATCATTCGGGAGTTACAGAATGTGATTATTACTGCATTTTTGCTGAGTTAATAGTACATCACGAAGGATTATTGGGAAACATTAAGGAAAATACCAAAAATGAATAAATTTAAATGCCCTATGAATTTGTTGAACTGTTTAGACTGTGATTTGACTTCTAAATTTTTATCTATATCCTGAAAAAACACTTTTTGTCTTAATGACTTTTCGTCACTTTGGATGGAATCTGAAGTAGTTTCTGTGCCTGGCCCTACTCATGCTTTAATACAAAAAGCCAAAATTTCCAGAAGTTGAAATGGAATTAAATCCTTCACATTCCCATTTCAAAGTAATGAAGTAAGATTCTTGCTTCCCCTGAATACCTGGGGCAATTCTTATTGGGATATTGTTTCTGGATGTGTTTAATTTTCTATCATGTTTTTAGTATTCATATTCATGTCTTTTCTCCCATTCAAGAGTAAAAACTTCTTAAACAAAGGCATTTTTCCCTTGTGTTGATAACACTTGTTAGTACTTGGCATACAGATTTTTAGATCAATCTATAGAATAAATCAAAGAAAGTTAATACCTGGACAATATTTTACCCAACAGATGTTTAAGCTCATGCTAAATAATTACATCAGACAGAAAATATTAAAAAGCAATCATTCTAAATAAATAGTAAAATGCCAAATTAATAGTAAAGTGGTAATATAGAGGCAAGCATACGATTTAGTGGTGAAGATGCCTGTCATGACGCCTGCATCCAATATCAGCATACCACATTTTTAGTTTCCATTCTAGTTTCTCATTCTCATTTCTTCACTAATGCAGAACCAGGGTGGCAGCAGTAACAGTAGTGAAGGCCCAAGGAATTGGGTTCTTGCCTACAACACTGGAGATCTGGAATGAGTTCCTGCCTCCTGACTTCTGCTTGGCCAAAGCATGGGCTGTAGGCTGTGTGATCCAGCAGATGGGAAGCCTTTCTCCTCATCTTTCTGTGTGTATCTACTGGTCTATATATAAAAAAAAATAGAGTGCTAATATGTTAATATTTTTAAACGGTACATCTTGTAAAATAATATGTGGACATCCAGTGTATGTAATTTATTATTTTATATCATATAAAATTCGTGAAATATTTTGTAGCTGATACTCTAGAATAATGTATTCCAAAGCCAAGGACAGCAAAAGGAAAAAGAAAAATATTGCTCTCAAAAAGTTTTTAAGGTTACTTGAGGCCTGCAGAAGATGTGTTACATATTATATGATGAAGGTTTTTTTTTTTACATTTATTTATTTATTTTAAAAGCAGTTACAGAGAGGCAGAAGCAGAGAAAGAGAGAGAAGTCTTCCATTCACTGGTTCACTCCCTAAATGGTCACAAAGGCTGGAGTTAAGACGATCTGAAGCCAGGAGCCAGGAGCTTCCTATGGGTCTTCCCATGCGAGTGCAGGGGCACAAGGACTTGGGCCATCTTCTACTGCTCTCCCAGGCCATAGCAGAGAGCTGGATCAGAAGTGGAGCATCGGGGACTTGAACCAGTGCCCATATGGGATGCTGGCACTGCAGGCAGCTGCTTGACCCACTGTGCCACAGCGCCGTCCCCCTATGATGCGGGTTTACATATACCTGATATCTTTTAAAATGCAAAATATACTTAGGAGTATGGTACTAACAGAAAAGAATATGCTGGAACAAACAAAATCAAACAGAAATATCTTACTTAGATATGCCATATCAAGAATTTTCTCTGAAAATTATTTACTTCAAGAAATTGTCTTCCTCCAAATGGTAATGATTTTTATTCAGTTTTATCCTATCTGGTTGTATTAACATGAATAAGTAACGAATAGCAATAAAAATCCACTAGCCTCAGGCGTTACTAAAATAAAATAGTATATCTTAGGTATTAATGCATAGCTAATCTTTGAAGTTACTTATCAATTAGAAAATACACTGTTATTGCTTTATAAATTATATTTACTTTGCCACAGCACCACCACTTATACTTTTTGTATATTGTTTCTAGTCAAACCAGTGCTTCCAATACTCCAGTAAACCAACTACTCTAGGATTTTGCATTTTCTGTTTATTTGAATAATTTTAATTTATTTCATCAATTAAATCTGGCAACCAAAACCTTAACAAAAGTAACAACATTTCAAATGTTAATTTAAAAAAAAATCTATGCAGATCCTCTCTGGGGAGAGAGCAAACATTTTCAGAGGTAGTTTCTGAGAGGCCTGGGAAAAGCTAATATAGAACTTATTTGAATTTATTTTCCCTTAGGAATCAAGAAACATGGAGAATTATTTGTTCTAGTATCATTCTATTTTTT